CCGCCCAGTGGAAATTAGGATTGAATCCGCCTATAGTAGTTACTTGTCTAACCGTTTTTTCCCTCTATTTTTTTTTCGTGCGTTTAAGGCACTTTTTTTTCACCTTTTTAAAAGTCTATGCATTTAATCGCTATGACTTTCGTAATCGTAATTCCAGTGTGTGTCTTTTCAGCCTCTTCATTTTCACAGAAAAATCATCTTAAGTTAACCAAGAGTTCTATATTTGTAAGTCTGGCGTTTCAGGCAAAAGTTAAGTAGGCAGTGCAGCAAAAACAAATTGGATTCAAAACTTTCACTTTTAAGAAACAGCTAGATTTGAGCGAAAAACAGTTTTTTCAAGCAAAGCGCCACAAACTGGCATATTTTTCGGAAACGATACTTGTGTCGCGCTGAAGATATTTCAAGTGCCCGTCTCAGCAGCATAGGGGCTACAGAAAGTGCCAAAATTCACACGAATATTGTGCATCTGAAATTTATACTTTAAAGCACAGATTTATACGAATGTAACCAAGCCAAGTGTCGGATGACAGCAAAGGAAACAAAGTTTATATTAATCAAATAGCAAAGTTGGTTAAACTGAAGGTTTTAAAGAAAAGAAAAAGCAAGCTGCAGGAAAGTCGTAAAACCTTCTAAAATTCTTCTTCGAGTTAAGCAGTAAATTTGCAGAACAAAAAGCGTGAAAAAATCAGTTTTTACAACTGTAGGAAGTTTTTACAACTGTAGGAAGTACTGTTCGCCTTTCGTCCTCTCCCAACTGCTTCCCCCTCGCTCAAGTTTTTGTGCTGCATTACATTATTTGACACTTTGAAGTAATCTGTTAATTCCGTAAAAATACGGTAGTAAAAATTGCAGGTCTTGGAGCAAAAATCTTTAATGCTTCTTTATTCGTAGGCAACTATTTGAAATTACCGTATTTTAGCGGGGGTAAAGTGGAACTGGAATTTAGAAAGGAGCCAAAAAATACCTCCTATCTATTTCTATCCATTCCCTCTCTGTTTCTCTCGACGTTTCTTCCGCAAACACGAACGCGTAAATACACGCATACATACATGACATAAAACACAAAGACACATACGAACGCATACACTCAGATTACTCTGTTGGAGGTGCTCTTCAAAATGTTCATCGTTGCTGCTGTTGTTGTGGTTGGTGCCACCGCCAGCAACACTGAATTCTCCCCACGTTCCCTCTTATACATTTGGTTGTTTATTTGTCTCTCTCTGCAGTTGTTCGGTTTCATCCCTCTCTCTTTTACTTTTGTTTAGGCCTGCGTTGCGGGAGGGTCGTTGAATGTGCTGGTTCAACGGCATCGGCAGCGCCAACGATGACAATAGCGTCAACATCGCCATCGTTGTTGGTTACTTGGAAGGGAAAGAAAATGGAAAAAAAAAAAAGAACGATTTTGCTGTTTTTGGGGAGTATTTTATGCTTCATGCTTGAACCTTCAACTTACCTTCTTTTTCTAGCCATTTGCTGATAAATATTAGCTGACTTAATTATTGGCAGCATTACTAAGGGCGAATTAATAAGTGTTTGAGTTCGATTTGATGGATCTGATTTAACCTGGCTTTGTATTAAGTGATTTGTATTAGCGCATCGTTTCCGTGTTCGTGTATTTATCTGCTTATTATTTTTTCCTACGTAGTTCAATTCAGTTTCTTTTGTGAACTAACAGTTGTTCTTGTTGTCATCATATTTTTCACAGAAATACAGGTTTGTTCAGGTCACAAACAGAAGTGAACTGATTGGAAATTATTCGGCATTGCGGAGTAGAACTTGTTAACTGTTTCAGTATGCTTTTGAATCACTCCGGTGTAAAAAAAGAGGGAGAACTGTTTCACTTTATCTCTCTCGATTTTTAATTTGGCTGCGGATCTGTGTCATTTGACTGATAAGTTTTACAGTTTTATTTATTTATTTTTTTTTTGCGAGCCATCCAGCTTTCCAGACACGATTTTTTCTTACCTTTCTGATATCGATCTGTCAGAAGTTGTTACAGTAGGTTGACAATTAGATTTATACAGTGGAGCTTCGATTTTATGAAACGGTTGGTGCAAAAGTCCTTTGATAAAGCCGAGTTTTATAAAACGAGGCTGTCTTGTTGCGCTGCGGTCATTATGTAGACATTTTACGGAGTGGAAAAGCTAAAGCCTGACAGAGGGACAACGGAGTGATAAAGGAAACATAATGCAAGTTTTTGCTACGTTACTAAGTAAAACTGATAACAAGGCGTTGTGCGAACTGCTGCTGTCTGTATAATTCTGTTTGGAAGTGCATTTAGGAGGAATGATGGAAGTCAACGACTAAAGTAGTAAATGCAAAAGTGTAGAGTTGGATTCGGGTAGACTCACTGGTATGCCGAAGGGAATTCCTGCTATCTGGTGCCGCTGGCGAGCTTATCTGATGCTGTTCCGTTCTTGTGACAAGCTGTTTTCGTGATTTACCAGCACAGTTATAGTAGCTTTCAGTTCTACAGTTCTTACAACATCACTCCTTTAACTTCTTCTTGTACGATGCTTTACGGTCGTCGCAGCTAGTGCTGCTCGGATTCCATATTTTGACACCGATGCGTCGCGTTTTCAATGCTCCCATGTCTCACCCAATCGAGTTTGGAACTCGTATATTTTCTCCAAATTTTGTTTTTGTTGTGCCAATTTTGTTTTATTTTGCCGTTCATTTGTTGGTGGTTAATGGGTAATGAATGGGACGAAAGTAAGGGGTTTTTTTTTTTTTTTTCTGCAGACAGGACAGATCTGAAAAACAGTTTTTGCGTTGATTAAGAAGTTGTTTCGTTTTGCTCTCTTGTTTACATTTTGGGAAGATATCTATTCTTTTCTGGAGCTGCAATCGTTTATTAAGATCTTTAAAGATGAAAAAATTAATTTGTTCGCTAGTTTCTAGCAAGTAAGGTGACGTAGCTTCAAAAGCATTTAATTCTGCTTGGGCAAATTTTAGTATGAAGAAAAGTGACGTTGAATATGTTGAAGATGCGCTCGATCTTACAGTTATTTGTCTACCAGTTGGCCCATATTGCAGTTTATTGAGAAGTGTTTTTGAAACATCATTTTTCATTATTTTTAATACGTATTTCTTTTTCTTCTATACTTTTTGTTTTTCGGGGCAGTTTTCTTTTTGTGAAGTCCGTTGTGTTTTTCCTCCCTGCATTTTTGCTCTTTTGCAACAGTTCTGAATTAAGGATTTTGAGAAATTGGTTAGCACTATTTCGTAGGTGATATACGCCTTATTTTACGACGGTTGCTGTATTAATTTATAAACTTTTTTGAAATTTCTGTTTGGAGTTTGGGGAGTGATGCTTGATTATTTTTGCTTCGTTTTTCCTTTTTCTTTTTTGAGAACTTGACTTGGTTTATTCAGATTAGGTTGTTGGTAGAGTAACTGTATTGCTTACGAGAATGACGGAATCAAGACAGACACAGTATAAGAATATGGGGAAAGACAGTGAAGCCCTAAGGAAGAATCGCGTCGAAAACATAGTGTCGATTCGGAAAGACAAACGTGAAGAAACGTTGTCGAAAAGGCGAAACATCAACAACCTTACTGAGTCTGTTTACATTCGCTTTTAAGATCTTTTTTTTCTTCAAGGACCAGCTTTTTGAAAAAATTTGTGGATTTTTGGTGAAGACGAATGTTTAGTTCACAAGAATCAGATGATGCGTCAACAAGCGCGAGTGGATTTACCCCGATGGCGCAAGATAAGGCATCGCTGCTGGGCATTGTGCGTAACGCAAAAAGTACCGATCACGCGGTTCAAATGAGCGCCGTACAGCAGGTTAACTTATATATAAATTTTCAAGTAGTTATCCCTTCTGGCACTTGTTATCTCCTTCGTGTTAAGACTGAATGGACGGTTTATAGGTTTTTTTCTTCCACTGGACGCAGACAGAAAAATTGCTAATAGGTACACTGGCATAAGTGATAATGATTTTGTCAGAGATATATCGTTCTTTCTTACTTGGTCATTTTCGAAAGTTGACAAAATCTAAAAGTGAGTATATGAGATAGGAACAGGTGTTACACTGGAAAACAGTCATTGGTGGCAGAGTTGTTGAGCTTCTGAATTGGCAGAAAGATTTCCATCTTTTGAATTATTCTTAAACCTCCATAGCAAAAATAATATAATGAACTGTATATTAATCTGTGATGCGTTACTCTACTACCACTGCGTTGGAAGTATGGGAAGGGGCTTTTGAAAAACGTTGTTTAACTGTTTTCACATTATTTTTTAAGTCAGCTACAGAAAATGCCTTGATTGAATCAGTACTTGTTTTCTTTGATTGGCTTTTTATACCGTACTCGTCCTATTTCGCCGGTTCTGTCAAAGATAATTTTAGGCGAGAAAGCTTCTTTCCTCTGACAGGAACCCCCCTATTGATGATCTTATCGAATCGGGGATTTTACCGATTTTGGTAGATTGCCTTCGTTCTTCAAAGTATGTTTGATTTAGATTGAAATTCATCGCGTTTTGTTGATAAGATTAGCTACTTAAATTTTCCTCACGTTATTTTTGTGGCAGGTAGACGATTTTAGTGTTAACCTCCAGTTTGAAGCGGCCTGGGCGCTAACCAATATAGCTTCGGGTACTTCTCAGCAAACCAATGCGGTTGTTCAAGCTGGTGCCGTGCCTCTTTTTCTTGAATTGCTGTCATCGGGCAACATGAATGTGTGTGAGCAAGCGGTTTGGGCTCTTGGCAACATTATTGGTAAAATTTATGACATCCAAAGTCTCTTTGTTTTTTTTTTTTTCGTTACAACTGTTTCTTTTGGAAATTGCTTAACTTTTTTATTTTCTTTGTTTTCACGAAAGGTTTGGGAAATTCAGGAGATGGGCCTCACTTTCGAGACTATTGTATTCAACTTGGTATTGTTGAACCGCTTTTAAAATTCATATCACCGGATATTCCTATTGGATTTTTGCGAAACGTAACATGGGTTATGGTCAATCTCTGTCGGGCCAAGGTTACTACTTGAATATGGGCAGCTTTTCTACAAATATTTATGGTTTTCAGAAATTTTTTGTTTTTTTCAGGATCCACCGCCGACTCCAGAAGTTGTCACTACTCTTTTACCTGCTTTGGCGCTATTAATTCATCATAATGACCAAAATGTTTTAGTGGATACAGTCTGGGCACTTTCTTATCTTACTGATGGCGGCAATGAACAAATTCAAATGGTCATTAATAGCGGGGTAAGGATATACTTAACACGCTTTTTCTTTGAACATTTCATCACTCAGCACGTTCAGAATCTCACATCAGCCTTTCTTGATCAAAAGTAACAAGCCGGGGTTTTTTAAGTTCATGATCGGTTTCAAGTGTTAACATGCATTACTGTTTTTAAGGTCGTTAGCAAGCCGGGGTTTTTCAAGTTCATGATCGGTTTCAAGTGTTAACATGCATTACTGTTTTTAAGGTCGTTAGTAAGCCGGGGTTTTTCAAGTTCATGATCGGTTTCAAGTGTCAACATGCATTACTGTTTTTAAGGTCGTTTCCTACTTGATTCCACTGCTGTCTCATCCAGAAGTTAAGGTTCAGACTGCAGCTCTTCGTGCCGTTGGCAATATAGTTACTGGCACGGATGAGCAAACTCAGTTAGTGCTTGATTGCGGAGTTCTTCAGCAAATGCCAGCTTTACTCACTCATCAAAAGGAAAAAATCAATAAGGTAAATGAAATATCATCATATTGTGGTTTCATTTTGTAAACTTACTATTTTTAGGAAGCGGTATGGTTTTTGTCAAACATAACTGCTGGAAATCAGGCTCAAGTTCAAGCAGTCATAGATGCTGGACTTATACCAATGATTATCCATCTGCTAGAGAAAGGTGATTTCCAAACGCAAAAGGTATTAGTTTGAAACTCCGAAATTATTTAAACTGTTGTCAGGTTCTGGTCTGGCTTAATTTTGGGTGAAATTTTATCTGCAGGAGGCTGCCTGGGCCGTTTCGAATGTTACAATATCCGGCTGTGCTGAGCAGGTCGAGTTTATGGTTCAGCATAATGTCATTCCTCCATTTTGCGCTTTGCTCTCTATTCGTGATCCGCAAATAGTGCAAGTAGTACTGGATGGTTTAAATAACATCCTAAAGATGGCCGGACCGAAAACGGATGCTGTGTGCACTATGATCGAGGAATGTGGAGGTAACTTTTTAGGCAACCTTTTAATGCATTTGAGACGTAGCTTTTGAGATGCTTAGCATGAGGATCTCCGTCAGTTTTGGTGTTTAGTTGTACTTATGTAAATTACAGCTGTGATCTAACATCACGAAGTTCTTTCTTCTAGAGAGTATATTTCGCTTTACATATTTCTAAAACTTACCTTAACTTTAAAGCTTGATTGGGCACTTTGAGAGAGCACTTATGCTTCGATTTCTTTTTACACTGCTTCAAGGGACGGAAGTATTTCTGTCTGACTTTTCTTTTCTGTTAACTTTCATAAAATTTCTTTACAGGTTTGGACAAAATAGAGCATTTGCAAAACCACGAAAACGAAGAAATTTATAAGTTGGCTTACGAAATAATTGATAATTATTTTTCATCTGAAACGGATGACGATGCGGTGGTTACAAGTTCTGGGCAGTTTTTCGATGCCACTCAGCAGAATGTGCCATCTGAGGGCTTTTCATTTCATTAGTGAGGTAATAATGTAAGACGGAAACGCTATATTGTTAAATTATGTTCGACTTCCCCACCCCCTCCCTCTCCCTGAAGTTCGTGTCCCTTCCGGTTTCGCTCGCAGCTGGCAGTTTCCCATGCTCCCAATCCCGGCAGCCTTGCGTATTGCATAGATTTCCAGTTTGAGGGTTCTGATTTACGCGAAACTGTTGCTGTGGTATTCATCTTTGTTGACTGTGTGTACCTCATGCATATGTTTTTTTAGAAGAAAGATTATATGAGAAATTAATAAGTTTTTTCGTTTGATGCTGATTTTTTCAATCCAGACTTGAACAGCATCCAGCAGCCCCCAGCCTTTTCCCATCCCCGTGAGTTTAAGTGTGTATGTGTGATTGTGTGTGTTTGCTTTTCATTTTGATTTTTGTCTGTTGGAG